CAAATCAGAATAACAAGGCAGAAGTATGCCCAGATCTGGAGCATTGGACAAATACCTCAAAATATGGAGTGCAACCATCATGTGAGGAATCTGAGGAGCCTGCAAGAACTGATTCAGGTGTTGGACTAAAAAAGCAATATCTGGCCTAGTGTGCTAAAGAAAGTTCAGCTTCCTAATAGTTCTCCTATAACCACTAGGGTCAGAAAGAACCTTTCCCATGTCAGTAGTGAGCTTGAGAGAAGAATCCAGGGGTGTAGTAATAGAACTGAAGTTCTGGCAGTTGAATTCAGAGAACAAATTAGTGGGGAACTTAGTCTGCCGGACAAGATAGCCTTGGGGAGTGTGAGAAACCTCCAAACCCAAAAAATAGTGAATGGTGCCCAAATCTTTGATCTTTAATTGATCATCTAAGAAAGCCTTCACTCTGTCCCGCTCAGAAATATCATCCCAGCTAGGAGGATGTCATCAACATAAACAGCCAATACAGTAAGTGAGTCCCCAGCAGATTTGGTGAAGACAGAGTAGTCATTCTTGCTAGAAATGTAGCCTTTGGTAGACAAGGCTTCAGACAGTTTGGAAAATCACTATCTTGAGGCTTGCTTAAGACCATATAGGGCCTTTTTGAGCTTGCAAACCAAAGGAGAAGTGGAAGAAAAGCAGGGTAGAGAAACTTGCAGACTTGAGGGGGATCATCATATACACTTGTTCATAAAGATCCCCATAAAGAAATGTATTGTTGACATCCAATTGATACACATTCCATTGTCTTTTGACAACAAGGGAAAGAAAACATTTAATGGTTGTAAATTTGACAACAGGAGAAAAGGTTTATGTATAGTATATACCCTCATTTTGTGTGTCACCTCGAATGACCAACCTAACCTTGTATCTCTCAATTGTTCCATCAGATTTCTATTTTATCTTATATACCCATTTACAAGGAATGAGTTTCTTGCAGGTTGCAGTGGAACAATGTCCCAAGTATGATTGACTTCAAGAGCCTGAAGTTCCTTAACAATGGTGTCTTGCTGAGTAGGAGAGGAAGCAATCTGATGATAATACTGAGGCTCATGTGAGTGCAGATCACCAATAGAAAGCTGTAGAATATCAGAAGCAAGGGCAGAAGGAATAACAAGATAGCAAACATAGTCCTTAAGGTATGTAGAAGGGTGACAAGTTCTGGTAGAATGCCTGGGAGGTGGAGTAGAAGGAAGATGTGAAGCAACAGAAGGGTGGGGGGAAGGGACAGGAGATGAGACAACAGGTAAGTAAGAAGGGAAAGAAGGGACAAGAGATGAAAGAGAGAGAGATAAAGAAAGGGACTTAGGAGTAGACTGAGATTTGGGCAGGGAGGATAAATAAGGAGTAGAAATAGGGACAAAATCATAAGAGGGAACTGGAAATATAGGAGTTGAGGAGGAATGAGGAGAAGAAGAATAAGGAAAGATATGATCATGAAACACAACATCCCTTGAGTAAACAATTGAGGAATTGGACAAATTGAGAAACTTATAACCTTTCTTGTCACAAGGATACCCAAGAAACATGCAGGAGATTGCCCTAGACTGAAATTTGCCCCTACCAACCATGGGAGAAGTTGCATAACATAGATATCAAAAAGACTTAAGATGATCGTATGATGGAGGATGGCCATGCAATTTCTCATAGGGTGAAATGTTATTCAAAATAGTTGAAGGAAATCTATTTACACGATAAGTGGCAGTAAGGACACAATCACCCCAAAACTTTGTAGGTAGATTAGATTGGAATAGAAAAGCCCTAGAAGTTTCAAGTAAATATTTGTTTTTTTTTTCAACGACACCATTTTATTGAGGAGTGTAGGTAATGGTGGTTTGGTGTAGGATACCTTGTGAAGTAAAAAAGGATTTTGCTTCAGAACTACTCTCAAGTTCAAAAGCATTGTCAGTCTAAAGGATTGAACTGATATATGAAAGTGTGTCTTAACCATGAAGGTGAAAGCCTTAAGAATAGACAAAGCATTTCCTTTACATGAGAGTAAATGACTCTATGTTACTCTAGTATAGTAAGTTAAGAAGTATCTGAATCCATTATATGTATTGGTGTGGTAAGACCCCCAAATGTCAATGTGTACTAATTGGAAATATGCTGAAGAATGAGTAGAACTATCATTAAAAAAGCAATCTTTGTTGCCTGGCCATAGGGAAAATGGTACACAAAAATGACTGTTTAGAAGAAACTTTATTAGAAAGAAAAGGAATTGATTTCATTCTGTGAAAAGGCATATGCCCCAACCTTTGGTGCCAAAACAAGTTTACTTTGTTTATTGCAACAAATGGGATACAAGAAGGACTAAGGGAAGTGGATTGTTAACAAAAACAGAAACATTACATATACGGTCAAAAGGTAAAGAAACATCACATGTATTTTCTGAACTAGAATTATGAGATAAATCAGTAGCTTCAGTGTGAAGAAAATATAGCCCATGTGCAGCTTTACCAATTTCCAGTAGCCTCTTTAGAGAAGGGCCTTGTAAAAAACAACTATAATTGGTAAGTATTGCATAACAATGGAGTTAACATATGAGTTAATAAATAGAAATCAAATTGAATTGAAAAGAGGGAACAAGCAAGACATTATGTAGAGTTATATCAATCCTAAGATGCAAGGAACCAGTTGATATAATCTTTACTTTATATCCATTAGGCAAGGTGATTAAGAATGGTTTGGGCAATGGTTGTAAATTGTGATGAAGATGTTTGTGGGGTTTCATATGGTTAGTGGCCCCTGAGTCTAATATCCAAGAACCAACACTTAGCTGAGTGGATGAACAGACATGATAGCCATCAGAAGTAAAAACGGTACTACTAAATAAGCTGAACAAACCTGCACAATTTGCATAACCAATATTTTCCTTGGATGCCATATCACCATGAGGACCATAAGAGACATGTGTTTGTTGCAGGAATGTTATAAGGTGCTGGTATTGTTCTTGAGTAATCCCATGAGCTGAATGTTTAGTAGGACGGACACCATAAGTTGGAGGAATGTGATTGTCAGCTTGAACACAAGAGGCAGATCTTTTAGATTTCGTGAATTTAAAATTAGGAGGAAAATCATGTAACTTGTAGAATTTCTCGACTGTATATCCAGGCTTCTTGTAGTACTTGCATGAGATAGAATTCCTTGACTTCTTTATCTCAAAGTTGACCCTCTGATTAAAATTTTACTGACCTCCCACAGGTGCAGAATTAACAGAAAATGATGCAGAATCATTGGAGAAGGCTGATGGGAATGGTGAAGATGAAGACTCCCTCTGTTTTTCATCATGTTGTAACATGGAGTATGCCTTACTAATGGAGTGAACATGTGACATGAGTAGAATGTTGCTCTTTACTGAAGAATAGGACTCATTAAGTCCACTTAAAAATTAATGGAGTTTTAATTCTTCTAGACACTTGGGCAAAGCTCCACAAGAACACAAGACCTACATATACAGTATGTAGTTCATCCCATAGACTGTACATTCGAGTAAAATAGGTAGCTATATCAGAACTGCCCTGAGACATCAAGCCAATTTCTTTTTTGAATCTGAATGAACTTGGACCCATTGGACTGCCCAAATCTCTCATTGATATCTAACCAGATTTCTCTAGCAGTGTCATATTCCAAAACACTGCCAGCAATGTCCCTGGATAATGAATTGGTGATCCACAGGATCGCCATATCATTGCATCTCTCCCAATGAGGGTAATATGGTGAGTCAACAGAAGCTCTAACATGTCTAACATTGATGAGTCCTAATTTGTTTTTGGCAGATAAGGAAACTAGTCCCATCAAAAGGTGGAGAGACTAAGTGAGTAATAGGGCTATCAGAAGGGTGTATGTAAAAAGGATATGAAGGTCTATAGTAAAAGGTGCAAATCCTTAGGATGAGGTAGAGGAATTCACATTGTCACTATCAATTGCCATTTTTTACAGAGTTCTACCGCAAAGAACAGAAATGCCACCAAAAAAATTTATACACAAGGAATTAGGACATGCAAACTCAGAAAATGAGAGTAGATGTTACCAATCTTCTTCAAGAGTTGAAGAATTTCCAAAAAAAATAATAGATTTCGATGTAGGTGAGGTGCGAAAACTAACCAATGTCAGAGCCGATTTCACTGTAGGAAATAACATAATCAAAATTCACAACAAAGTGAACCATTATCGAACAATCGAAGTAAAGAAATCCATATCGAAGGCCAAAAATTGACGGATAAACTCAAAAATTAGGGCTTGGACTTTGTCGAAGAAAAATCTACAAATTAGCTGCGAGGGTTATGCCGGGCTGACAAGATGATAGGTCTGAAGCTTAATTCCCACTATGATACTATATTATGATACAAATCAACCCAGTTATGGCGGAATTTTTATGGAAGAAAAACCCTACCATCGTGTGCGAAGGGACTGGAAGTTAGAGAGAGAAATATCACAAGAAAACAAAATCAAATGACTGTCCAACTTTATTATTCAGCACTTCTTTGTTTATATATTTACATTTGAGATGACTATATATGTAATGATACAATGGCTATCTAAGTAATGTAACCTGGTTAAAGTATGAAATATAAAAGGAATTTTTACATCCTATAGAAAACCTTAGTACCCTATTTATTTTAAATAAATACCATTTTAAAATATTACATCCTATAGATACCTTTTATACTTTATAACCAAATATCTAATTATAGTTACATCCTACATTTAAGGCACCATATATGCTAAATAATATTTTTCTCTCTCCTTTTTAGTCTTTTCTCTAACATAATCACAGTAAAATTGACTAGCCAAATATCTTATTCCACTCGTTCTTTAGATTTGATCACATCACAAAATCGAGATTATATTAATTCTTTTCCCTTTTCCCCTATATTATTTTGTACTTAATCCCACCACCTCCTTCTCCTCCCACTATTAGTACTCAACCCAAATACACACTAAAAACCAAAAACCCCAAAAGTTGAAAAAATCTTGATATGTTGAATTATCAAATACCTAGTAGCAGAGAAAGTCTTCATAATCATGATCAAGAAGAAGAACAAATCAGAGACATCCATGCTCTAACCCCACCAAGGCCTCCATCAACAAATCGTGGCCGTCGAAGAGAAACTTGGGAAATTAATAGCCATAGATCATCCACAAATTTATCCATAGCCAGTACAGAAGTAGCATCAAGTGAGAATTTCTCAACCATGAGCAGAGAATTCAATACTTTAGTTCTTGCTGGATCTTCAATAAGCAACAACCATGGTAGCGAAAACGACAACAACAACAACAACAACAACAATAATAATAGCAATATTTTGGGAAGAATTGATGAAGATGATTATGAAACAATTGAGGAAACAAATCCTTTAGCTATTGTTCCAAATCGAAGCCATCAGGCTGCTTCTCTCTCTAGATCGCCCAAATCGCCTATTTGTATTCAGTTGTATTCGAATGTATATTTCAGCTGTATTCACATGTATTCAGATGAATTAAGTTGTAGTTAGTTATATTCAACTATTTTATTCAGCAGAAGTTAATTGTATTTTGTTGCATTCAAGAGTTTTATCCAGCTGTATTCAGTTGTATTTTGTTGGATTCAAGTGTTGTATTCAGATGAATTAAGTTGTATTTTATTGTATTCAACTGTATACAGTTCTACTCAACTGTATTATTCATATGTATTTCTCTTTATTCAGCTATAATCTTTATTATGTATCTTTCAAATACAGATTAATGAGGGATCGTTTTAGTTCATTGAGTTAAATTAGGAGAATATCATGTGATTTGATTTCCTTAGTTCGTGGAGTTAAATTAGGAGAATATCATGTGATTTGATTTCCTTAGTTCGTGGAGTTAAATTAGGAGAATATCATGTGATTTGATTTCCNTTGTATTTTGTTGTATTCAAGTGTTTTATTCAGATGAATTAAGTTGTATTTTATTGTATTCAACTGTATACAGTTCTACTCAACTGTATTATTCATATGTATTTCTCTTTATTCAGCTATAATCTTTATTATGTATCTTTCAAATACAGATTAATGAGGGATCATTTTAGTTCATTGAGTTAAATTAGGAGAATATCATGTGATTTGATTTCCTTAATTCGTGGAGTTAAATTAGGAGAATATCATGTGATTTGATTTCCTTAGTTCGTGGAGTTAAATTAGGAGAATATCATATGATTTGATTTCGTTCAATTTTTAACCAGTTTAACCTTCTGTATTTAACGTTAATGCCGCTTGAATACAGCTAAATACATGTCAAACTTAGCTGGAATTCCAATTTTTACGCCTATTTTTTTGGTTGTATTAATGAATACAACAGCTTAAATACATGAAATACATTGTATAAAAACATAAAAGGTATCTATAACACGTAATATAACAAAAGGTATCTATAAATGGCTAATTAGACCTAAAAGATGGTGCTTTATGAAAAATTCTCAATATAAAATGAGTTACAAGTTGGGCTTAACTACTTGGTCCTTCAACCGGTTGCTCAATATGGTTAACATATCCACACAATAAAATATCAGACCTTTTATTTTATCCACCACTTGAGTGATGTTGCTATCATTTCCAAGCTACAACCAATTAATATAAGTTCAAATTCCAACACTTACATCTTAAATTATGTGCTATTTCCTTTTGCATAGACACGAGCTCAAATGCGGCTAAACCAGTTTAAACACAACAAAAGATGTCTTAACTGCTATAATATGCAAATTCAGAAAGTCAGCGGTGACAAAACAAAATCATTACCTGCGAATATTTGCAGGGAAACTAAGGACCGTTTGTCCATAAATTTTATTTTCCAAAGTCCATGAAATTTGCAAGTTTTTTGGAAATTTTTTGAAAATGAAATTTTAAAAATTCAAAATTTTTTTAAAAAAACTTTTTTCCCCAACTCACAAAACTACAATATTTTTTAAATGAAATACATGTCCAAACATAATTTCAAATTCCAAATACCATTTTCCAACTTAACTCCAAATATAATTCTTTTTTGAAAAATTATAATTTTTATGTCCAAATGCCTACTAAATAGGGCAATGTTAGAATTAAGGAATATGAATTACTTTTTGCAGAATTGGCTTGCATCAAAGGCATCAAGCTCAATGAAACGTAGCATATACATGACGAATTAAAAAACCAAATTAAGTAACAATTGCATTTGGTATATTCCCAATTTTCCTACAGGATGCAACGGCACTGTGAATTTATATTTGTCATTACATTTTGCCCTACTATAATCTACGGTTGGGAATTTTTCTTCCTTGTGTAATAAAGTTTTCTCTTTTTTCACTTCATTTTGAGTAAACTTGTTGTTTGTCTTTTAATTTATCATATGGTGTATGCATGTAATTATTTTATAACAAACCATTTCTATGATATGCATTGATTGATAAACTAAAAGTATTTGTAATAATTACTTAGTTATCTGTCGAATCACACATGCAAAACCTTCTAAGAAATTACAGTCAATAAAAGCTAAATTCATCAAGAATAAGCAAAAGTCACTAGTTTCATAATGAACGAGTCTATTCCAAATTCCAACAGCCAAGATATTAAAATATTGTAAGCGAACCCAAATATATAGCTCATAAAAATAAAAACAAAAGAAAATTAAACAAGCAAGGAGACAAAAGGGTGGAAATACCTTCATAATTAGTCTCACAATTGATTTGAATCATCTGATAAGTCACTAGAGGCCATTACGACAGGTCCCACAATGAAAACGAAAAGAATATTTGCATATCCAATATAAGTGGCGAATCCAGGATTTTTGATTCGTGGGTGCTTAACTTTTTTTGACGTAAAGTTTCTCCTGTTCACATAGTATAAGTGTACAACTAGTTAAATACGATGATAAGAAAATTAATGAGAAAACCATAGTACAGACACTGTAAAACTGTGGAGCAAGTGTGATGACCCAAAAGGTTATCACTTGCTTTTAAATTGAAATCTATGTTTCCGAGGTCTTGAAAACCTCATGTAGCATCACCTCGATTTGCGTGCGCAGTCTAGGCATATAGCCGGAAAGCTTATATGTGAAAATCTGTGAAAAATAATAAATTTTGACTGTAAAATTAGTTAATTTGACTGCGGTCAACGTTTTGGATAAACGGATCCGGACCCGTAAATTGACGGTCCCGTAGGGTCCGTAAGAAAATATGGGACTTGGTCGCATGCCCGGAATCGAATTCCGAGGTCCCAAGCCCGAGAAATAAATTTTTAAAGAAAATTATTTTCTGAAATTGTTTAAAGGAATTTGAAATGAAATTTGATTAGAACGTGATGGTATCGGGCCCGTATTTTGGTTCCGACGCCCGATGCAGGTCTTATATATGATTTAAGATGATTCTGTGGAATTTGGTGAAAAACGGATGTCATTTAACGTGATTCGGACCTAAATTGCAAAAATTTATGTTTTAAGAAATTTGAGGAAGTTCTTTGGTTTTGAGGTTTAATTCGCTGTTATTGAGGTTATTTTGGCGATTTGATCGCACGGATAAGTTCGTATGATGATGTTGAGTTAATACGTACGTTTGGTTAGGAGTCCCGGGGGCTCGGGTGTGTTTCGGAAGGTTTTGGACTTATGAAAAGTTGCAGGTTTTTGCTGTTCAGT